GCGATCTGATTTAACTTTCTACATCGGAAAAGTTTTGGTTCTGATTTTATGATGCCTTCTCAAGGCTAGAAATTACACAACACCATGTTATAGTCCAACAGGTTTATTTGAAAACACAAACTTTCGAAGCTTTGCACCTTCTTCAGGTATGAGTGAGAGAGGTAATATCTGATAGAATTTATAAGTAAAAGCTCCAAGGGTCAAACCACTGATGATGCATTAAACAGACCCAAGATGCTGTTAAATTTTTAATCAGTTAGAAGGTTTTAATTGATTAATATATATATATGTAAATCCCCAAATTTCTTTTACGTCACTGTACTGAGAGAACTAAAGGTTTTATCAGTGTAAGGAAGAGGTGACAATTTAGGTCAGACAATGCATGTTAGGTGCTAGGCCTTGTTTAGAATCTGTTTGTGTTTTGGTTTGGAGTCAGATTAGTTTTATTTCTGAAGCAGGAATTTATAAAACTCTACAATGACTGTTTGTTTATAAATTGTGTGCTTTTTGACCGAAATAGAAATTCACCCCATAAGATTTATATGTATTATCTACACTTCAGCAATATTGGTCAGCTAACAGAATCATTCTGTCATGCAAAAGGAAGCTGAGGCTAGGCATCTTTCAGACTGGAGAGTGTGCTGACAAAGAGCTTCTATATAAATCTCTGCCTTCAGTGAAATTTAATTACAATAGTTTTCAGTATTCTAGTGCATAAAAATAGCATTCCTGTTATAAATGGCATTCCAGTAAGTGGACCAAATTCTCCATTTGGGAATTGGTTGAAACAGGCTTCCTGAAACATTGTTCTATGGCATTTATGTAGAAAGTCTGGTGAAGGTTCGTGCTGATAGCCACAGACATTGTTCTACAGTCTATTTGGTGAAAGGAAGAATTGTACTGATAAAGTATTTAAGTGCTAAATGTGAAAGGCTGCTGATTTGTTTTTGAAGTAATTTTACAATGTTCTGTTTATTTATGCAGTTTTGCAGTTTTGAACCATATTTGCTCACATACACATTGCAATTTTTAAGAACAAAAACTGTTCAAATTCTGATTGTTAGTCATAGTCAATATGCAAGTTGCCAATTTCCTTTACCCCTCACCCCAGAAAAAAAACTCTGGATAGGATTCAATTTTGGGGTTAATTTTTCTGCAAGACCTTGCAATTGTAATAAATAAAACAAATAACTGTGAATTTTGGAGGTCTGAAACAAAAAAGAGCAAAAGTTGATGGAGAAACTCAGCAGGTCTGACAGCTTCTACGAAGAGAGAACAGTTAACATTTCAGGTCCAGTGACCATTCTCCAGAACTATGTTTATAACTCTTAATCGTCTAGGCAATTCAGTTTACCTGTGTATCTCCAAAGGGAGAAAAGTTTAACCATTTTTCATATTTAAGATGCTCTTGTTTAAATATTTGTGCACTTCGTTCCAGTAAAATATTTTTGCAGTCGCTTTCGTACCCTTTCTGGACATATTGGCATATCCAGTTGGGTGAAATAAAAGAGCAGAATCATGTCACCTTTTGGAATCAACTGTCACAAAAATGACTTCTCTTTTTTTTTTAAAGATTTTATTTCCCCCTCTTTCCTTCCCTGAAGACGTTGACGTCCTTGGGGCATTCAGAACGGGTCCCTAAAGGATATGTGCTGTAGGTTATTGAACCATGAAATTCACCATAGTTCTGTCTCGTGATATTCTCATCTCATCATGAATCATAAGATAATATCACGTGTCAGAGTTTTTGACAGAATTTGTTTTTTCCTGGGATCATTTATAATTCACCCGACAGTGCTGCAGAGATCGGCTAACAGCGCAGACCATGAGCCAAGTCACTTTGTGGATTGAGAAGCACTAACCAAGAAGTTGTTTATGAAATGTCTGCTAAATTAGCAAGGAAAGATGTAGATTATTAGAAGAAAGGCTTCTTCAGTCTTTGATTGATGTAGGATTATTTTGAAACTAAGGATTAAATGTTGATTGATTGAATTAATTGTGGTTTTCACTAGTATAGACTGAACTACTTGTAGGAAATTGTGTATAAGTAGGTAAATTGTTATATACACCTTCATGGAAACATAGAATGGTTATAGCACAGGAGACTATTTGGCCCATCATGTCATGCTGGACTTCTGTCAGAGCAGTTCATCTGTTGCCGCTGCCCTGCCCTTATTCCCGTAGCTCCATAGATAATGATCCAATCCCTCTTCAAAGACTTGATTGAATCTGCTTCTACCACACTCAGGTAGTTCATTCTAGATACTTACTAACTAGTTACTGCATTAATAAAGTGTTTTTAAAAAGCAACCATTACTACTTTTCACAATTACCTTTAAATGTGCGCCCACTGGTTCTCAATGCATCTATCATTAAGACTGTACTCTGTCATGACCCCTCATCTCCCCACAGCCTTCTCTTATTGAACAATCTTTTCTTCAATCTGTCTACATAACTGAAGTCAAAATCTTACATGAAAATTTCATCTCTTCAGTAGCTGCTTTGGACTCCTGTGTGATTTCAATTTAGAAACTGGAGAAAACCTTAATTGCCGGTTACAATAGCTGAATCAGGATGTTCTGGATGTGCAAGAGGATAGGGAGGAAGCAAAATGACCATTTATATTGCAACCACTTAAGTCTGCAACAGCCCAAGGAGGACAGAAAAACAATGTGTGGATTTCGCCATTGAAGAAAACATTGTAACCCAAAATTCATCTCTGATGTGTAAATTTGTGGTCCAGACACTTTCAATTTATAGCCAGGAGGGCTCAACGTTGGGGCGGCACAATGGCTCAACCTCACAGTGCCAGGGACCTGGGTTCAATTCCACCCTCAAGTGACTCTCTGGGTGGAGTTTGCACATTCTCCCTGTGTCTGTGTGGGTTTCCTCTGGGTATTCCGGTTTCCTCCCACTGTCCAAAGATGTGCAGGCTAGGTGGATTGGCCATGCTAAATTGCCCATAGTGTTCAGGGATGTGTAGATTAGGTGGATTATGAAAGATTGGTCTGGGTGGGATGCTCTGAGGGGCAGTGTGGACTTGTTGGGCTGAAGGGCCTGTTTCCACACTGTAGGAATTCTGTGATCTATGATGATCTATGATTGCTCTTCTCAAGGCAGTTTTCATGCACATACTGGAGTATCAAAAATCTGCTTTCTACTGTGGCTCACTCTCAAAGAATCACCATGTTTTATACAAAAAGACTTTTGCAAAATGATACTTTTCCTGATTTTTATATCACCACCTGTCTGTATATTAATTTGCACACAACATCCCAGGATCTGTAAAAATTCAAGCTCAACTTTGGAGTAAGCATGTGTGTCTGATTTGAGAAGTCCACTGTTGAATTTGAAATTTTGTTCTGGTATGAAGAATATTTTGAAAGCTGATCTTCATAACCTTTTCTGAAAGCACATTTGTAACGTAAGAGTAGAAAGCACTCAGCTGTTGTTGCCACTGTTTGTGGGCCTTCTGAAAGCCCAACGGTAGTGGTGTTTTGAGATATGGAATCTAGCCAAGAGTTCTGAGTTCCAGTTTACAAGTTGCGCTGAAATGTTGTGTGCGGTATGTATGTGGAATGCATGCACCAAGACAAGATCTTGCCTTGCCACGTAATTGCAGAACTTGAGCTGCCTTTCAGATGTGCAGCAGCTCTCTGAGCAGGGGTGCTGGGAGGGGCTGAACTTCAGCTTAACTGTGAAGCTAAGCCCCACCACAGATTGGTGTCATTAGTACTAAACTTTGAATTCTGCTACTACTTTGAAAACAGAAGAGAAATACAGGTACTTAATCTCTGGTCTGAACCCAGTCTATGAAATAGCTTGATTTTTCAGCAGAAATTGGCAGACTTTTTAAGCTATATTTTTGAGGATATGTTTGTTTTTAACTTGATAGTTATTAATATGTTTATGCAGTAGAATTTTATTTACTACAGCAGTGTACCCATACAACTCCATTGCACTGCTATGGAGCATCTGTTGCTTGGTTTATGAAGGACATAGCAGGTTTGCACTGGATGCCATTAATATGTATCCGTCTAATGCTCAGCTCATTCTTAGTTTACCTTCAAGCACACTTTTCCCTATTATTCCATAAAGGGGAAAAGTGGTGGAAAGATTCACAGGCCATACAGTCTATTCAACCCTGTCATGTACGCTCCTTCTGTAGCGAAACTAAGTAGGGTGGAGCTTATGAATCAAAGGTAGAGATGCCACTACTGTATCACGAGGCCTCCATAAGAGTTGTATACATTCAACAAAAGCATAAAGAACAGGGTTAGATTCCAGGTTGATTCAGTTAATTGATCTGAGTGTTCTCAGTTTCAATTGCTGTTTCTGTGGATGCTAATGAAGAGTCGTGTGTTCTTCTGTGATGAGGACAGGTATACCTAGGTTCTGCCACTGCTGAAAAGCTGTCTTACTCCCAGGATTCTCTATTCAGGCTCACATCAATAATGACCAATTTGGACAAGGAAATAGAGAATCTTGTGGAATACTAAGAATCACAGAGCTTTCAAGGGAGGCAGAAAAGGGGATACAATTAAAGACACAAAACAAATTTTGTCACCTTGCCAAAGATCAAGGCAAAAGTATTTTCTGACTGTCCACTTAAGTTGACAATGGTGAGCTTGGTTAACAATCCTGGACGGGCAAAAGCTCAGTGAAAGCATCAGACATGACAACATTCCATCAGGAACTCTTGGAAAAAGGCATTTCTGAATCTGAAGAGAGATTTAATTGTTTGGATATGTATAACAAGATTTTTGGGAGTGAGGGGAGAGTGAATGCTAATTTTGTAGTGGAATTGGAGTGGGGAGAAAGTACATGCATAACTGATGGTGAAGGCATGTGAAAAGCTGCTTTGTATGTGGAATAAGTATTAATGTTCGGGTTTAGTGCTCTTCGTCATGAATTGCATCAAAAGTACTTGATTGTTATTTTGATTGTACGTTTGATTAGTTGTCATCCTTTACTCAGTGATTTCTCCTTTCCTTCAACAGAAAATCAGTGGCATTTCCGGTTGCTCATTTATGGAGTTTCTGAAGGGCAGCAGGGACTATTGCCAGGCACAGCACGGCCACCTCGCAGACAAGTGAACTCCAGGTCTCTCCCGTTTCATCTACTCCACGAGGAAATCATCTTAAATGTAAAAGTGCCAACAGCAAACTGGGATTCATCTGGATACTGGATTTAAAAATTGGATAGTTTGTGAGAAACAGAGGACATTTGTTCTTTCAATGACCTAGCCTGGATGGGGTAAATCTGCCTGTGTTTTGTGCAGTTGGATGCTTTAAGAAGCACCATTGCTTAGAGACGCCAACCGAAACGTGCCAGTCTGAATTGGATTTCACATCAAGTGTGTTGAGTCCAATTGTGAGTGGAAATTTTAAAAGCACAAGTACCAACAACGAAAAGGAACACAAAAGTGCTGTTTCAGAATCTCCCTTTTTATACAGTTTTTTTTTTCGAGTTGCAACCACAATGAACCGCCCGGCCCCCGTAGAAATCATCTCCGAGAGTATGAGGTTTCTCATCACACACAACCCAACCAATGCTACCCTCAACAAGTTCACAGAGGTAAAAACAAAGTTATCTTCAGGCCAACTTGTAAATAATCTAATCAACATGGAAAATGATGCAATATTTTTGGTGTACTATGCAATATTCCCTGGTTCTTTGGGTTGAAATGTGCCCTTGAAGGACAGGATAAAGCTTTAGGAGAAAACAAATGGTATTATGACGAACTCTTTCACCTTTGGTATATCAAACCGAGTTCAGGGCATGACCATCTCACGACAAGCTCTGCCCACCCATGCCATGCAAGCCACTAAGATCCTAGGCAAATATATTTGTATGTTCTTGTCCAGTGACCAGAAGTTCACAGAACAAAACAGGCTTTGCATTCAGTGTTCATAGGCAGCCAGTGGGTGGTCTTGTTGAAAGATGACAGTGGGTTGAGTATGCATGATTTAACTTCAACTCGCACAAAGTGGAGGTCTTTTTTTCAGGTGCCAGTGTCATATCAATAATACTGACTTGCTGGTCATTTATGGTGTTTTTTCAACCTGCCCTTAAGGTCTATAGCATCAACAATGTCTATGTAGGTTTGTTTAATTTTGGAAATAAAAAGCCAGCCCCATTCTACTGTCTGTACTCCTTTTCTAAACAGTAAATTACTATAATGCAAAAATAAGCAAAATGGTCTGAATTTAATTGTAAAGGATTAAAAGTCACTGAAGTTAATAGTAAAAACGTAGTAGGCAGTCTTCAATTGTTTAAAACTTATGGAGTAGATGTGATTTTGTTCCTTGTTTCTAATGCAGGTAATGTTAGGTGGTCAATGTCACTCAATTAGCCTTATTTTAAGTAGATGTTGAAAAAAGCCTTCTCTGTTGTCACCGTCACTTGTTTCTACATCTGACACAAAAGAAATCGTTCATTTAATCTTCTACAAGGTCTTTTTTCGCCCTAATTAAGGCAGGCAGTAACTTGCTGCAAAATTTCCTCTGTCTGTACCTCTTCCCCTGTCTCCCTCTGTCCCTCCTCTTTTACTGCTTTTCTTTTCCTCTTGCTTTTCTCTCAATGTATGGGGCTTGAGTGTGAATCTTTACCCTACTACTCTGTAGTACAATATGGTGCAGGTGCTGTTTGTGGTTACTATACTGAAGCTTGAAATTGAATGAAGCATGTTGGGATAACGCAAAGCTCCTTTGACTGCATCTTCAGCTCTTGACCAAGTACTTTAGACTGAACTCTGTGAAAAATGTTCATAGTATTACGAACAAGGGCCAGCAGTGTAATGTGAGGAGTGACTTGTTCATGAGAGTTGATTGTAAATGAATAAAGTGGTTTTGAGGTTTACATAGTGGAAATTTCTGCCATTTGATTGCTTTGTCCTCAGAGGCTACAGGCAATCACTTCTTAATGTAGTGAAAATAGCATTTAAAATCTTTCTGCCAGGAATTAAATGCAGAATTAAAACTAGATATTTAATCAAACGTGACTAAACTTATTATTTCGTTACTGCCCGATCGTGCTCTCTCTTCCTTCTAGGCACCTCTAAATATAAGCAATTCAAGATGTCGAGGATGTTGACATTATACAAATTGGTTTTTCACCATAAAACTTCTAAGATAATTAACGAGCGCCTTTGCAACTTATTAGAATTATCCAAGCACAATTTCAAATCTGTATCATGTGTGCTGTCCTCTACAAACATTAGAATCCAGTCAAATATAAATGGGCCTTAGCCTTACTAAGACCCATAAAATGTGGGAGCAGAAGTAGGCTGTTTGACCCATTGAGTCTGCTCCATCAAATAAGTGAGATTTGGCTAATCTGATAATCCTCAACTCTACTTTTAGATAGCAAGAACTGCAGATGTTGGAGTCAGAGATAACAGTGTGGAACTGGAGGAACACAGCAGGCCAGGCAGCAATCAGAGGAGCAGGAAAGTTGACGTTTCGGGTTGGGACCCTTCTTCAGAAATGGGTTTCTCTACTTTTCTGCCTTTTCCCCATAACCCTTGATTCCCTCACTGACTAACCTATCTCAACCTTGAATATATGTAACAACTCAACCACGACAGCCCTTTGTGGTCAAGAGTTCCACAGATTCACCACCCTCTGAAAGAAACAAGTCCTCCTCATCTCTGTCTTAACTCAGCGACCCCTTACTCAGAGATTATGTTGTCTGGTCCTAGACTGTTCCAAAGAGGAAAGCCACCTCTCCACATCTTAAGGCATCGCTGAAGTGTCACAAGATTGGAAGTATTGATGAAAGTTTCTGTTCTAAGTATACTTCGTTCTTTTGCTTACTGACCTCCTGAGTTAAAACTGGCACTTAACTGAGTCTTATAGTGGAGAATTACTTCAGTGGCAAATATCAGACATTTTATTAAATGAATAGTTGCCTGTATAATCACTCAACAATTGAATTTCATCATTAAAGACATTTTTCTCACAACGTCATTGTACCTGATGAACTTGTAAGGCATCCAATTTTCAATAATAGACATTAGGTAACCTGGAAACTGAACCTGTGCCCATAAAACCAACTTGTTATCTGTAAATCAGACTTTATATGTGACTCAAATATTGCACCTGCTTAAAAACATAACAGTCATGTATAAAGGGTTCAGCCATGTTTTGTCTGGATGGATGAATGGTTTTTATTCAGTTAGTATGGTTCATACAAATCCTGGGTTTAAAAAATACAGTTGGTAGGAGGAGAAAATGTATTGCCAGGAGCACCAATATGATCCACAGAAAGCAGTTCCTCCATTCCCACTGCCTTGCTAATCTCAGCTATACTACACAGTCTGCTTGGTTTTCTCATGATGACAGCCTGATTTAACCAGGCTGCATTTTGTATACCAATAACCAAAATGCAGCAAATTTTGGAAATAGTCACCAGCACAGTGACATCACTAGAGGGGGAAAGAACTAAGGTTATGTTCAGGTTGACAAGCTTTTGTGAGAACCAGTTCTGACAACCAGTCACTACCTGAAATATTATCCTACCTTTGCTCATCAATATTGCTGGGCTTGCTCAGTTTTTCCCTTGTTTTCTGTTTTACCATTTTTTTTCCACTGAAGTTTTGTGCCCTGTGGAGACTATAAGTATGCGTTTCAGTGATAAAGCAGCTACTTTTAAAAGAAAGCAACAATTCTAAAGCATACAAATTGCTGCTGTTTACAGTTAACTTTATATTAATTGTTTAGAGACAAAAAAAAACTGCAGATGCTGGAATCCAAGGTAGACAAAGAGGAGGCTGGAAAAACACAGCAGGCCAGGCAGCATCTGGAGGAAAGGAGCAGTCAACGTTTTGGGTATTATCCCTTCTGCAGTCCTGAAGAAGGGGTAATAGCCAGAACGTTGACTGCTCCTTACCTGCAGATACTGCCTGGCCTGCTGTGTTCTTCCAGCCTCCTGTTTGTCTACTTTGTATTAATTGTGTCTGAGACAAATAGTATGATGCTGCTCTTTTCCAGGGATAATGTAATCATGAAGTTTTATCCTGAACCCTCACAACCACCGACAAAATATCTTGTTTTTCCTTCAAGGTGAAGATGGTCATGTGCGTTATCTGGGGTATTTGATAAAGTTATGTTGGATAAGTAGGCGACTTTACTGGGAAGGTGTTGCTGCAGACGGGAAAGATACTGCAGCTTCGGACAGTACCGACTCAGGATTTCTTCTTTGCATTTTCTGTATGCCGCTGATGTGTACTGCCTTTGCAGCAGATGCTGCAATCTTGGTTTAGCTTCTCCCAGGACTTGAAATTGAGGTCAAAACTTTGACCATGAAAACACACTCAGATTCTGACTGTCTTGAGGGTGGCACAATGGCTCAGTGGTTAGCACTGTTGCCTCAGTGCCAAGGACCCAGGTTCAATTCCATCCTTGGGCAACTGTCCATGTGGCGTTTGCACAGTCTCCCCGTGTCTCCGTGGGTTTCCTCCGGGTGTTCCGGTTTTTTCCCACAGTCCAAAGATGTACAGGTTAGGTGGTCTGGTGATGCTAAATTGCCCATGCTATCCAGGGATGTGCAGGCTCGGTGGATTACCTGCGGGAAATGCAGTGTTAATGGATACGGTAGGTGGGTCTGGTGTGGACCCAATGGGCCGAATGGCCTGGTTCCACACTCTAGGGATTCTGAGATTGCTTTGGTGAGCAAGTGTCAGCCGTTATGGTTACATGCCAGACTTAATCAATTATAACTCTTAATATGATGCGCCTGCTTGGCTTCAAGTGGTTGAACTTTTTGACACGGTGCTGGTACACAATGCCTGTGTCACATGCGCAGAGTAACATAGATAGGACAATTCCTCTTTAAGCTTTCAGTTTGATAGGCAGACATACCCCTCTTCATTTGGACACTAATGTTTGCAGTCTGCCAAAGGCTAAACTTAAGGAATTTTGTCATGTGTTTCATTGTCTCTGCAGACAGTTTGAGAGAGTGTGCTGCCAAGATAAGTGAACTTAGCCAATGCCAACCGGTTTTAGTCATCAACTGAAACCTTAGGCTCAAAAAGATTTCCTGAGCAAGCTACATCACTTCTTTCTTTCTGCTGTTCATAAGGTTGAAGTTGTAATGTGGATTGGTGAATAGCTTGATGTTACACTGTACTTCCATCTCTGAACCAGCAGCTAGCACACAGTCATAAGTAAACAGGAAAGCACAAAGCATATTCTTGGAGACCACAGTCTTAAGCGGAGTTGTCTCAGATTGAGCAGCTCCAGATCCATGCAGTATCTGGTTTTCATGCCAGAATCACCACCATGGAAAGCATGGGAGAGTATGTGAAGATAAAACCTGCTGGCAGAACTTGACAGAATAAACTACTGGTCTAAACTAAGAAAGCAAATTTTTAGTTCTTTTGATGGAATTGACTGACAAATCTGTTAAGTCTTCAAATGGCTATCTTGATGCTGAACCAGTTCACTGAAAGCAATGAGAGTATTATGCTTTTGAAAAAACTTGCGTTGAGTCATTGCAGCACAGTGGCAATGCCTTTCAGATTCCTGTAACTAAATGTTAAATGCAGTTTTCTCAAAAAACACTTTAAATTCTTAGAATTACAGAAATTCTACTGAGTTACTGAATTAATTAATTTGCATCAAGCCCACATGATGCAGTAGAAACAGCCAAACTCGAGTCAATCTTGCAGGTCTCTGCGCCTAATTGCCACTGCAGTATTCACACCATGAGTCCAGTTGCCATATGGAATAATTTATGTCTAAATTGCAGCAATGTGCATTTCTTCAATCCTGATGGTTTTTCTTTTAAGTTTCCAGTAATCCTGATGAAATTCCAACTGGGAGTAAAATTTGCAATCGGTGTTGACTAATTAAAATCTCTCAAATCTTGATGCTTCTGCCTTCGATGTAGTTCAGGTTTATTGCTGTTCTTATGCTTCGGTAAACTTTTAATTTTTCCTTAGTTTTAACATAGAAACATAGAAGATAGGAGGAGGCCATTCAGCTCTTTAAGCCTGCTCCCCCATTCGTCACAATCATGGCTGACGTCCAACTCAATAGCCTAATCCTGCTTTCTCCCCAAAACGTTTGATCCTATTCGCCCCAAGTGCTATATCTAGCTGTCTCTTGAATACATTCAATGTTTTGGCATCAATTCCTACCTGTGGTAATGAATTCCACAGGCTCACCACTCTTTGGGTGAAGAAATGTCTCCTCATGTCCGTCTAAATGGTCTACCCAGAATAGTAAGACTGTGACCTCCTGGTTATGGACACGTCCTCCATTGGGAACATCCTCCCTGCATTTACCCTGTCTAGTCCTGTTAGCATTTTGAGTCTCTAATATTTCACCCCACCTCATCTGAACTGCAGTGAAAACAATCCTAACCTGGTCAATCTCTCCTCGTACGTCAGTCCTGCCATGCCTGGAATCAGCCTGGTAAACCTTCACTGCACTCCTTCGAGAGCAAGCGCATCCATCCTCAGAAAAGGAGACCAAACTGCACACACTATTTTAGGTGTGGCCTCACCAAGGACCTGTATAACTGCAATAACACATCCTTGCTCCTGTACTCAACCTCTTGCAATAAAGGCTGACATACCATTTGCCTTCTTTATCACCTGTACCTGCATGCTTATCTTCAGCGACTGGTGCACAAGGACACCCAGGTCCCACTGCACGCTTCCCTCTCCCAATTTACAGCCATTCAGGTAGTAATCTGCTGCCTTGTTCTTGCTTTGAAAGTGGATAACCTCACATTTATCCAAATTATACTGTATCTGCCGTTGATTTTCCCACTCACCCAACCTGTCCAGATCATGCTGAAGGATTTCTGCATTCTCGTCACAGTTCACCCTCCCACCCAACTTGGTATCATCCACAAACTTGGAGATGTTACATTTTGTTCCCTCATCCAAATCATTAATATATTATTGTGAATAGCTGAGGCCCCAGCACCAATCCCTGTGGCATCCCAGTAGTTACTGCCTGCCAACTTGAAAAGGACCCATTAATTCCTCTTGTTTGTTTCCTCTCTGCCAACCAGTTTTCTATCCATCTCAAGACACTTCCCTGAGTCCCTTGTACTTTAATCTTACACAATAATCTCTCACGTGGGACTTCGTCAAACACTTTCTGAAAGTCCAAATATACCACATCGACTGGCTGCCCCTTGTCAACACTACTTGTTATATCTTCATAGCATTCTAACAGATTTGTCAAGCATGATTTCCCCTTCATAAACCCACGCTGACTGTCTGGTCCTGCCACTGTTATCTAAATGCTCCACTATAAAGTCCTTGATATTGGATTTGACAATTATCCCCACTACTGATGTTAGGCTTACTGGTCTATAATTCCCTGTTTTCTCTCTACCTGAATATTGGAGTGACATTAGCTATCCTCCAATCTGCAGGGACTGTTCCAGAGTCTATAGAATCCTGGAAGATGACTGCCAATGCATCCACTTTTTCTAGAGCCACTTCCTTAGATACCCTGGGTTGTCGATTATCAGGCCGTGGGGATTCATCCACCTTCAATCCCGTCAATTTTCCCAGCACCATTTCTCTACTAAGATTGATCTCCTTCAATTCTTCCCCTCTCACTAAATCTTGCATTCTCTAAAATTTCTGGTATATGATTTGTGGCCTTTTTTGTGAAGCCAAAACCAATGTATGTATTCAGTTGCTCAGCCATTTCTTTGTCCCCTTTTATACATTTCCCCCACTTCTATCTGTAGGGGACCTACGTTTGTCAACACCAATCTCTTTCTCTTCACGTACCTATAGAAATTCTTAGTGTCAGTCTTTATGTTCCCTGCAAGCTTGGTTTCGTACTGTATTTTCCCCTTCTTAATCAATCCATTGGTCCTTCTTTGCTGAATTCTAAACTGCTCCCAATCCTGAGACATATTATTTTTCTTGGCCAGTCTGTATGCTGCTTCCTTTGATGGGATACTATTTCTAATTTCTTTTTGTAAGTCATGGATTGGCCCTCTTACCCATTTTGCTTTTGTGCCAGACAGGAATAAACAGTTGTTGCAGATCCCCCATGCATGCCTTGAATGTTTGCCATTGCCTATCCACGCCATCCCTTTAATAACTCTCCCCAATCTATTGAGGCCAACTTGCCTCATATCTTCAAAGTTTCCTTTATTAAGATGCAGCACCCTAGTCTCCTCGTTCTTATTGAAACAAAAAAAAAAATACAGCTTTAATAAGAAAGAATACGAAGTGATTTAAAAGTAAGGCCTGTGATTAGTTTTTTTTTCCCAAAGGCCCAGGGTGTGCAAGCCTTTAGTTACTGGTAGCATTTCCTACAGCTACGGACTGATATCCAGCAGTTGCTTGGTCTGTCAGCCCATAAACCACAAGCTCCTACCTGTCATGTTGTGTGGGAACCCATATAAAGCCTTTCACAATAATAAAACTGACCATCCTCCATTGTGACATTGCCTTTATTTTCTTACTCACAGTTGACTGTCGCCCCTGACAAACCAGGACTACCATTCAAACCAACCAATCAGTGAAAGCAGAAACGGAAAAAAAGTCTTCCGCAAGAATCGTTTTAATGCAAATTATTGTTGTATCTTCCCAGGAACTCAAAAAGTATGGTGTTACCACACTGGTTCGAGTTTGTGAAGCCACCTATGACAAGGCTCCTGTTGAAAAAGAAGGCATTCAGGTTTTGGTAAGTAACAATTAACTACAAACAGACTCCAGATTTTGGACATAATCTGTTGACATGCAGTGCCTTCAAACTGTAGAATGTGGATTTTTGTCCCAGAGATTTGCATCTCCATTGGAACAACCTGAAAACGCAATTGAACAAACCCAGAAAAAAGTATGCATGTGAAAAGGTCATTTGATCCATCCAGTTGAACGTTACGGTTTCTGTATAGCAGGAGAGGATCTGCTGAGAGTTGCCCTTGCTGCTGCTGACTTAATCCTTGCCAGATATTCTATATGTGTGGAGACAGAACACCTCTGTGCTATGCTTCTTTTAATGAACGAACATAGAACATTACAGCGCAGTACAGGCCCTTCGGCCCTCGATGTTGCGCCGACCTGTGAAACCAATCTGAAGCCCATCTAACCTAAACTATTCCATTATCATCCATATGTTTATCCAATGACCATTTAAATGCCCTTAAAGTGGGCGAGTCTACTATTTTTGCAGGCAGGGTATTCCACGCCCTTACTACTCTCTGAGTAAAGAACCTACCTCTGACATCTGTCCTATATCTATCACCCCTCAATTTAAAGCTATGTCCCCTCGTGCTAGCCATCACCATCCGAGGGAAAAGGCTCCCACTGTCCACCCTATCTAATCTAAAAAGGGGAATGATGGGTAAAAGGACAAGGTGGGAGATAGTTGTAACAAAACTTGGGATTTCATTTGTTTAGTGGTAACATAAGGTATCTAAGCCCTGATTTCATGGGTTGTGCAGGTTTTAGGGCTACAAATGAGTGTTCTCAAATTGCTGGAATGAGCCAGAACTAGGATGTCGCATCTGTGAGGCAGTAGTGATGAAAACAAACCTTTCCAGACTTGCAGCCCCATAAAATGTGAAGACAAACGAGAAATGGAACTGTAAAATAGCATTCAGTTGACTTGATTTCAGTGTCTGGATTGCAAGTGCTTTGGGCGCAGCAAGTTAGACATACCTGATAGAAAATGAGATTTGTAGGAAGAAATTTCCATTGCATAAAACCATGCAACCAGTTCTCACCTAAAACTTTGTTTTTGTGAGATATTGCAAATCCTCTAATGGATTTTTCCCCAGAAAAAGCGCAATTTTAATTTGAGATCTCAGATCTGAGTAAAAGTAGGTAGTGACTAAATGGAAGATTTCACATGCTACGTCTTCTCAGGCATTGCAGTGTAGCTCAAGTTTATCTATTTTTTGTGTTTAAAAGTTACATATGACTTATTGAATGATTATTTACCATAGATTGCTATTTTATGTTCTTAAACCAAATTTTCTTTATCCAAGCTGGCGCTGACCTTCCTGTTCCATGAGCCTCAATTTAATAACCAGCCTTTATGTGATAGTATGTCAGAAGCTTTCTTAAAATCCTTCTGCACAACATCCATTGTCTTCCCTTCAACCTTGGCTATCATGACATCTATTGATGTTAAATTGGCCAGCCTCCACTCCTAACAATGTCCTCGTACCATTTCTTGAATAAAGGAGTCATTTTTCCAATCTCCAGTCTTCTGATGCCTTCCCTTATTTGGGACGCATGCTATCTGGACTAGGTGACTTAGATATCCTAAGCATAGCCAACCTCTCCAATGATCTACTGCCTGTAACCTTTTGTTTTAAAATTCATTCATAGAATGTTGCCTGGGCCAGCCTTTATTGCCCAAATTGCCCTGGAGAAAACAGTGGCAAGTAGCTAACTTGTTGCTGCAGTTCTTGGTGTGTAGGTGGACCATGGCCCTATTAAAAAGGGAGTTCCAGGATATTGACCAGACACCACTGTAGGAATGGTGATATAATTCAAAGTCAGAATGGTGTATGGCTTGCATGAGACCGTGGAGCTGGTGGAATTCCTAAGCATCTGCTGTCATTGTCTTTCTAGGTGGTAGGATTTTAGGTGGTTGAGAAGGTTCTTATGAAGCAATCTTGATAGACTGGTACCATTGTGTATCAGTGGTGAAGGGTATTGGATGTTGAAGTTGGTGGGTAGGATGCTAATCAACTAAGCTGTTTTCTCCTGGATGGTGTTGAGCTTCTTGAGTGTTGTTGGAACTGTCCTCATCCAGGCAAGTGGGGAACATTCCATCACACTCCTGACTTGTGCCTTGTAAATGTTGAATAGTCACCGTGGAGATTTGTGGCATGAATATTATTTGCCACTTGCCACTTACCAGGCCAAGTCTGGTTATTGCCATAAAAACATGCATTTCTTCAGTGTCTGAGTCAGGAATTGTGCTGAACATTATGCAATCATCAATGAATATTTTCATTCCTGACCTCTTGATGGAGGGACGGGCAACTGAAGATGGTTTTACCAAGGACTCTACCCTGAGGAACATCAGGTAGTGGTGCCTTTGGACTGAAAACTTCTAACATTGCTGATTCTGTTAATATTTTGTCAATATCCTTTTCCTTTAAAACATGAGAGCACTGGCTAAATATTCAAGCATTACCTTGCCTGCTATGCATTTCTCATCCTCTTTGTCCCTAACAGGCCCAACTCTCTATCTTACTATTATTATTTACGAATCAGTTAAAACAAAAATTTCTATCTCTATGTTAACTGCCGTTTAATGATTACATTTTATCTTTGCTGGCCTATTTTCCCTTTTGCTCCCATTTGATTACTTTTGGCCCGATTCTGATTTAAAGAATTCACCTGAAATACAACACAACATTCATGTTTTATTTTGACCATATTTTCTATCTCCTTTTGTCATCCAAGCAGCCCTAGCTTTGATTCTCTTTCCTTTCGTCATTTTTGCAGTATTTTCAATCTTGCTTGAAAAATCTGCTCTTTAAAATCACCCATTGTTCCATTAGTTTATCCTATGAACTTTTTTTTCCCCTATTTTGCTCTGCTGGATCTCTTTTGAAGGAAACCCTTATCCGATTCTGAAATTCTACTTTAGATTGTTCTTTGCTCCTTTTTGTTACCAGTTTAAACCTTATGAAAGAATTATCTCTCCTACTCCAGTGTTCCCACATTAGCATTTGGTTGACATAATTCCTCAGCACCAGATCCTGCAATACCTCCTTCCTGGTTGGATCGAGAAAACAATGCTTAAGAAAATGCACTTGAACTCACTCCAGAAATTCCTTTCTCTCCACCATTAGCATTTATCAACTCAATACATGAGTAATGCAATTCCCCAATATCACCACTTACATCTCTAATTTCACTGTAGGTTTTTCCCTCTACCTCTTTCTCGATATTCAGAAGTTTAGCAACATGTTCCTATCCTTGTTCATATTAAATCTAACAAAACTGATTTGCTTTTTCCTTCCCTGTCTTTTCTATACACTTTTTGTATCAATGAATATTAAGCACCATATTAATCTTCACCACCTTTAATCTATTTTTCCGTTATTATACTGCTATATCTTATTTCAACATGACTATTTGTGCATGTAGCTTATCAATCTTGTCCACGCATGCAAAAGCTACCAAAAGTAGTAGTACCATATTAGATAGAAGGAACTTAAAGATGATCAAGAATACAACGCCAGGTTTACAGTTCTATTCAATACACTGAACAACCTATATTCCTGTCTTCTACCCCTACACTCTGGAGCCCATTCTCTGCTGGTTTAGTTTGAAACCTCCCTAACCACACAAGTAAACCTTCTGCCCTTTTTGAATAGATAGATCCCTCTTGCCCCAGAACTGGTCAAAAATGTTTAAGCATCTAAAGCCCTCTGTCCTACGTTAGGTTTCAAGTCATGTAATGTTCTTTCCTTATCTTCCTGTTTCTACTCGCTTGTGCATTTGACACTAGGATTACATTCCAGGGGTTTCAATTTGCTCCTTGCATTTGAAAATCAGACCATAAGACTTCAATCCCTCCCACTGTATCATAAATACTGACCTGTCACAATCTCTTTCCCGTTGCAAAACATGCTGCACTCTCTCCTTGATGTCCTTCACACTGGGACCGCGGAACTTTCCAACCATACAGGACTCATTTTAACGGTTAGAGAAACATGGAAATTTCTGTCTGTCTCACCTTTTTCCCCAGACTGTAGAATCTCCTATAATTTCTGGATTTCTTCTTTGATGTTTACTCCTTGCCAATTGGTGCCCGGGTCAAGACTACATTTTTCAAGGTTCAAACTTGCTAGGTTTGAGCATGTGCTGAAATCCAAACTGGCTTGTTAGTGTCATACTGACAGTACTGCTCTTCCAGATAGATGTAGAAGATCCACTGCCACTAACTGAAGATGAGCTGATGCGTTTCCACCTTGTTCTGATCAATATTTATTTTCAGCATAATTGAAACAAGTTAATCAGTTTATTAATTTAGTATTTGAGGAACCTGGTAGGTGCAACTTGATTGCCACTTTTCCTACATTGCTACAGTAACTGCACTTCTTCAGAAGTGTTTCGTTGGCTATGACGTGCTTTGCCATGTCATGTATGAATGTGAATTACTTGTTTTTAATGTCAGTTTTTAGTTTTTGTGTCTTTTTGAGGATAGAGAATGAGTGTTATATTGTTAACCCTGAGCACCATACACCAGGAAACTAATTCAGTTGGTTCTTGATAATCTGATAAGGTATTCCAGTAATTGAATTGATGAATGACATTTCTGTAATAAATAATCTGTGTACGTGCCTGGAACATCGTTTTGGATCACTGAGCTGCGGTAAATAATCCATTGCTGTTGAATTTCAGTTCCCTATCTCAATCCTCGTATTTACAGGTTATCCAAATGATTGACAATTAGTGGAAAACTTAAAAATCCCACCTGCTCCAGAGGTGTATAATAATGTCTCTGAACAGTTTGATTAGAAATTATGTATGACTATCTAGAGTCTGTCCAGCAATTGAATGGTTAGTTATGTCCACCAAGTTACATGCCGTGAAGGTTAGATACTGAATTACGTTGCATTCTCATTTTAAGATAAGAATGTCTGCTACTTGGGGAGGTCAGGCAAAACAAGTAAGTAATATTTTTCAGTGCAACTTTGATACAACTAAGGT